TATTCAATATTGTCGCAGAGGGCTTGAATATATTGCTAAGTACAACCAAAGAGTTAGGCATAATAAAAGGGGCTGTGGTGGGTTCAAATGGATTACAAGTCTCTCATTTACAATTTGCGGACGACACCATTTTGTTTTGCGAAGCTAAGTGGGTGGAAGTGGTGAATATCAAGAGAATTTTAATGTTTTGAGATTCTATCAGGCTCAAAAATTAATTATCATAAAAGATGGGTTGCTGGATGCATTTGCTAATAGACTTCATTGTCTTCATCAAAAGCTACCCTTAAAATATTTGGGGACGCCTTTGGGCCAATCTAGGTAGGAAAAGTACCTGGAAACCAGTGTTGGACAAGTGCAAGCAGAGACTGGCTTCTTAGAAGAGGAGGCTGCTCTCCTTTGCTAGAAGATTGACATTAATCAAATTTGTTATGTCTAGTCTGCCTATTTACTATCTATCACTATTCAGAATCCCTGTTGGTGTGGCTAAGGAGCTTGAGAAAATGTAATTGGCTTTTCTTTGGGGTGGATCAGACCTTAGAAGGAAAGTACATTTGGCCAAATAGGATCTTGTTACTAAAAATAAGCAATTTGGTAGTTTGGGAGTGAAAAGGATTAGAACTATGAATGAGTGTCTTCTTCTAAAATGGTGGTGGAGGTTTGGAGTTGACAATCATTCCTTGTGGAAGGAAGTGATTTGTAGGAAGTATGGTATTGAGGGTGGTCGATAGTTCCCAAGCTTGGATGGCAGTGCTTCTAGGGTGTGGTCTGATATAGTCAACCTATCCTTATCCAATCCAGAGCTGCAGAACTTTTATCTTCATAACACAGTGATTGAATTGGGGGATGGTAGGAGAGCTCATTTCTGGTTGGACAAGTGGGCTGATAATTTTTGTTTTAAGGAGGAATTTCTCAGGCTTTTTTCCTCGTCTAATGACAAGATGGGTATGGTCAGTGATTATTATCAGAGAAGGAACACAGATGGAATCTAGGCTTTAGAAGAACATTGCTGGCTTGGGAGGAGGAGGAGGTGCCTAGACTCTATAATCTTCTAGGTTCTGCCCTTACATTATGTAGTGATAAATCATATGTGCTGGTTTGGACTGTAGATTCATCAAGAATCTTCAGTGTGTCTTCAGCTTACATTTGATCTTCAGTGTGTCTTCAGCTTACATTTGGTGGGAGTCTAGGCTTGGGTCTTTGTTGGACATGGCTGGTGTAATTTGGAATAATTGTGCCCCTTCAAAAGCACAATTTTTTGGGTGGTTGGCTTGGCAAGGGAAGGTTAAAACTACTAGTTTTCTTCATAGGATTGGAATCCTTTTGGGGGGGGGGGATGTTAATCTCAACTGTGTTTTTTTGTCAAAATAAGGCTGAAACAGTGGCACATGTTCTTCTTTATTGCCCTTTTGTGTGGAAGCTTTGGTCAAATATTGTAAGATGGTGGGGCTTTCAGTGGGCATTACCTGGTTCTGTTAATGGGTTGTTGCAATGGTGGTATAAATGTAAATTAAGGAAGTTAGGAAAGAAGATTTGGATGGCTCTGCCCTCTGTTGTTCTATGGTCCACGTGGAAGCATAAAAATGAATGTTTGTTCAAGGCTATTCAACCAAATTTGGAGGAGTTGTGTCATCTGGTTAAGGTGAGAGTTGCAATATGGATCAAGTCTTCTCCAACTCCAGTGGTGCTTTCTGTGAATGATATTGTGTCAAATCTATAACAAGTGCAGTTCTGCCTAAGGAATGGTGGCTGAGCTAGTAGGTTGTAGATGTGTTGTGTTGGTTTTCAATGTCAGTCTACTGTGCTATTTCTTGTTTACAGTGGCTGAACTGAGGGTACGCCTTATTGTTGTGGTGGATTTCAATGTCAAATCTACAATGTTGGTTTTTACCTACTGAGGCCTCTTGGCTGCTTAGTTCTGCTCTGGTTAGTTATACTGTGCTATTGTTTGATGAGCTTGTATCTTGACTAAGGGTGATCTGAGCATGGCTGTTGCTGGTGTTATGCTGGCTTGTTTTGATCTGTTCTGATATGTTGGCTGATTTGCTAGTTTGTTTTGATCTGGTGTGCTCTGTTGTTGATCTGTGCTCAGCTAGCAGCAATATTGGTATTGTTGTGCTGTTTTGGTCTGTTTCTTTCGTTGGTTACTCACCAACTTGGGGGTGCTAGCAAATGATAGGATGTGCTTTTTGGTACCAACCTAGTTGGGATGATTTAGCTCATTGTGATGCTCTTGCACTCCCCTTTTCTTTATTGGTGTAATTTATTTTGTACCTTATACTAGATTCTTAATTACATTAATAAAGTCTCTTTTTTGTCGATAAAAAAAAACCTCTTAATTAAATTAAAATATCAACTATATAAAAAAAAATTTAACAACGACTAACTAAGAAAAATCATATAACAACATCTAAATCCAAAATAAAAATAATAATAATAATAATGAAAACATTCAAACGATAGATACATCTCAATGTGTGAAGTGATTAATCATATTTAATATGGTGTCAAAACATAAAAGAACTTACTGTTCAACAAATGAAAAAGTAACTCAAGCAACAAATCTAAACTTTAGAGGTTTCTTGAGAGTGTCATTATTGTGTAGATTTTTTTTCTCTGTAAGTTGTGATTATGTAAAATAATATAGAAAAAGAAGTATAATTTCATATATATAATCACTACAAAATTTAAACGACAAATCTGTAATATAGAATAATATAAAATTGGTATTTGGTATAGAAAATGCAAGAAAAATAAGAAGAAGAAAAAAAAAAAGAAAAGAAGCTAATTTAGCATTAAAGAAAAATTCTAATAATCTTGAAAAAATTAAGAAGAAAAACATGAAATGCAAAATTGGTATTGGGTTTGTAGATTATCTCAATTTACTAAGAAAAATATAAGGAAAAAAAATATTTGTGAAATATAGTCTATATAAAATAAGTAAAGTTAGTATAATTTAAATTAGGTTAGATTTGTATAGAACTCTATATGTAATTTAAAAAATACACATGGTTCTCTTAAAAAAATATAAGCGCTTTATAATATATCACCGAAACATAGAAAAAATATTACTTTTAATAATATATATATGTATATATATATATATGATATGATTTGATTGCAAGATTATAATTTGCAACAATTATTTATTGCTTTGTTCATGCTTTTGATACAATTTATTGCTTTGTTCTAGATTTTCTTTAAAAAGATTATAATTTGCAACAATTATTTATTGCTTTGTTCATGCTTTTGATACAATTTATTGCTTTGTTCTAGATTTTCTTTAAAAAGATTATAATTTGCAACAATTATTTATTGCTTTGTTCATGCTTTTGATACAATTTATTGCTTTGTTCTAGATTTTCTTTAAAAAGATTATAATTTGCAACAATTATTTATTGCTTTGTTCATGCTTTTGATACAATTTATTGCTTTGTTCTAGATTTTCTTTAAAAAGATTATAATTTGCAACAATTATTTATTGCTTTGTTCATGCTTTTGATACAATTTATTGCTTTGTTCTAGATTTTCTTTAAAAAGATTATAATTTGCAACAATTATTTATTGCTTTGTTCATGCTTTTGATACAATTTATTGCTTTGTTCTAGATTTTCTTTAAAAAGATTATAATTTGCAACAATTATTTATTGCTTTGTTCATGCTTTTGATACAATTTATTGCTTTGTTCTAGATTTTCTTTAAAAAGATTATAATTTGCAACAATTATTTATTGCTTTGTTCATGCTTTTGATACAATTTATTGCTTTGTTCTAGATTTTCTTTAAAAAGATTATAATTTGCAACAATTATTTATTGCTTTGTTCATGCTTTTGATACAATTTATTGCTTTGTTCTAGATTTTCTTTAAAAAGATTATAATTTGCAACAATTATTTATTGCTTTGTTCATGCTTTTGATACAATTTATTGCTTTGTTCTAGATTTTCTTTAAAAAGATTATAATTTGCAACAATTATTTATTTATCTGTAGGTCAAAAGGATAATTTTGCTGAAGGAAAGAGCTGATTCAAGATGTAAGAGGAATTTGTAACTTTTTTTTTTTTTTTTTTTTTTTTCAACACCTTTTAGTTGGCCCAAACCTACCTCAAAAGAAACCAATTTCAACCCATCTCTTTCTCTCTCTCTCCAACCAATTTCAATGTAAAACTGTATATATATCCCCCCCTAAAGTTATATCTGGAGGCAATGATTCCCTAATAGGTAATTATATAATGTAATGCTTCAGTTAGTGGTGGATTTGTTCAGGCCTCCAAACTGGACTCTTTACATAACAATTCACCAACTTGACTTTGAAAAGAAACTATGTAAAATGAAATATAGGAAGGGAATATTATATTTCCCCCGCAATCCCCGGAAGCTAACTTTTCTTAACCATGTCGCACACTAACACATAGGGGTGTTTTGGCAACACGATTTTTAGTCACTTTTTTAAGTTCGTAACAAAAGTTAAAAATTATTTTTTTTTATCATTTTTTTTATTTGGGAAGTTGGTTTTTAGCCAACGGTGAAATTACAATTCTACTTCTCGTGGGTTAAAATGTGTTACATGGATAAAATTGTAAATATTTTAAATAAATGGGGGTAGTTTGGTCATTTTATTGTGATTTGACATCATAAACAAATATTAATCAAAAAAGTCAAAAGTAACTTTTTATCAACTTTCCAAATCATTTGTCTAAAAAAGCCAAATACTTGGTTAAAAGCCAAAAAGTCACTTTTTACTATCTTCTCAAAATAAATCATAATTTTTTCCAAAAAAAAAAAAATGTACATTTAGATGGGCCCACAGTTCATCGAAATTAATGTAGTACTCTTCTGTATTTACTGCAATATTTTTGTGTGCTAGTTACAAGTAATTTACCTAGGCTTTTGGAATAATCCAGAGTGCAACTTCCACAAGAGATACTATGAGACGAATTAATGGAATTTACCAATCTTGCGTGTGTGTGAGAGAGAGAGAGAGAAGGTAATTACTGTCTACGAAGAAACAATCAATATATCATTAAGATTACCAATTAGCTCTGAAGCTGACAAATTTTCTCTATTAGAGAGTTACAAAAGCTTAAACATATGATAGCTTCTTTGTATATATTGCTAAGAAAGAAGAAAATTCATTTGCTTCACAACTTCAAGGTAATTATTACCAAACCACTTCAATTGCATAGTATTGTTCATAATAAGTTATTATTGCTAATCAATCAGCAAGTGCTCCGTAGCAAACCGCTCCCTGTATGCTTCCTCCAATAACATTTCTCGAGAATTTTTTGTTACTGAGCACAAGCTTAGACAAGTCTACTAACATTTACCCAAAAAAAAAAAAAGAAGTGATTCGGTGCACGAGATTCCCACAAAATCAGGATTTGAAATGGGTAAGACGTTCATAACTAGAATCCAAGATACCGCGTGAACATTCCTAGTGAGCATTTTCATCTTCTGAGCCAGTGATGCATTCCTTCTTGTTGTCATCTTCAAACCCTTCAAGAGAAGGGTGTGGAGAGTGACCTTTACCGAACGATCTCATGTGATCTTTGAGGGACCTTTTGTGTTTGAAATCGGAACCACAAGTGCAATACCATAGCTTCCCACAATTCTTTTCATGTGTCCTCCAATCTCCTTTGACAGCAAATGTCTTCGCACATTTCCTACACACAAATGGCTTTGCCCCATGCTTTCTTTTGTAATGAGTTTGGAGTGTCCTGAAATCCTTCAATGGCTTCGCTCGCGGATGATTGATGTTGTTCTTGCAGCCTTGAGCACAGCAGTAGCAAGGAAGCCTCAGCATTGCTGCTGGTTGTGTTCCTCTTAGTGACTCTGGTCCTTTCCTGTATTCAGATCCATGCCCCCACATATGCATCTGCAACCCTAGAAAATGTGAATATATACTTGTGTTTTGTGTTGTCCAAGGGATATGATTGTTTGCTTCTGACAATCTTTAACGTTTAATATTGGATGCCAAGAGTGACCCTTAGTCACAGAATTATTCATGCCCTATAACTAGAGTCACTTTAATCAATAATAAATTTTAATGTGCTTATGTTAATGACAGTTTAATAGGCTATCATTAAGAGACACAAAATGACAATTTGAATACATCTGAAAATATTTTTTAATATATTTTTATACATTGATCAATGTTATTAGCATTTTCCTTTAGAAAGAGAGTGATAAACTTTGTTCCGTGGCAGTAATCTAAATCACAATATTTTGTTGTTTTGGAAATAATATTCACATCACTTAAAAAAATAAAAATAAATAACCAATGCATGAGCAAAATTGTATTTGTGAATAAAGAACTGAGCAATTGTAGGTTTGGGAAAATGAATCAAGCTAATTGTTACAGGACATCAAAATGTTCCCTCAACATGTCTATTTGCCTCATATTTATATTTTCTTATATTTGTTTTCCAATAGAAATGTTGAGGTTTATCAACTAGAGGAAGACATCACTCATACAATATATAATCCACATTTTCATACTATTGTCCTCTATGTTATGCACAAATTAATGAAAGAGACCTCGAAAACCTTTCAGCAACAAGTCCATCCAAAATGCCGATCTCAAAAAAAACAAAAACAAAAACAAAAACAAAGAGTATGGTATGTTGTAGCAATCTGCAATCCAACCATAAACCAATGTACGATTTACCATAATTTCAATTCTTTATTTTTTCCTTATCCAATGTGCGTTATTATGCTGAATCATTTAAGCGAACAAATAACTAGGTTTAAAATTAAAACTATCGCTCTAAAAAAAAATGTAATTGTAAGAAACAAGCAATAAGCAAGTCTTCCACTATGGCTTACTATATAATCAACAAGTAAAGTCTTCCACTAAAATTTTGGGGTCAGCCTGCCCATTTGAGTTCTGAATAATTTCCAAAACCAAAACTTTCTTGCAAGGAATGATTGTTTTATACATCTACAAAAATTATACAAACCCTATAAATTATAAAATAAAATAAATCACCACAGAATGGACCAATAATGACATTGTGAAAAAGCCAATGTGGTGTGGTTTGAATCCCTAAAAAACTATCCTTTTAATGATTAGTCTGAAGGCGCCCATGGCATTTGTACATGCTCATAATTTTTCCCTTATTTATTTATTTTTTTTATTTTTGGCAATAAGCACCGTTATTTTGTGTTATGCTAAATGCTTTATATCGGCAATTAACTATAAAAAAAATAGAAAAGAAAAAAGAAGAAAAGAAAATTATTCTTTTTCATGTGTACATGTTTTATGTCCTTCAAAGAATAGATATTCCTCACAACTTTCCTTGATATCATCTCTCTTAGTAGATTTTTTATTATTATTATTATTATTATTTATTATTTTTTTTTTAAGGGAGTGAAGAGCTAACATGAATCATGTTTTATTGGGGGAGTGGTTAAAATAATTGAAAAATTAATTTCTAAACAAGTCCTCAAAATCGTAAATCATAAACCCAGTGCTTAAAAAAAAAAAAAAATCAAGCAACTTTAGTAGTTCTCTCAATCTTGCTAAGAGAGAGCTATGTGCATCAACCTTTTGTTTTAACTAATAATTCCAAAAGAGGAGTAAGCTTTAAGAAGTAACAGACCGCGGTCTCGTCTTAATTAATCTTGTTACAATTAAAACCAAGTAAAATAATTTCTGATCATGCAAAAACATCTCAATTTAATCAAACAAACTCACTAACCTGCATGTTGTTGTACCTATTAAAGGTCTTGCTGCATACGAAACAAGCAAACTGCATCGGTCCTATGAGGATCTGTGTCGGTGTTGGGATCCAAAACCTACTCTCCATGTTGAAAGTTTGGGCACAAAACCTTTTCAACGCGTGATCTTCTTCCTTAAACTTGAAGGACTTAATCTCGGCATCATCAGGGTCTCCTCTATTAGGCAATCCTATGTGCAAGGCCACCGGAACTTTCCCAAACTTGTCTTCTTTAACTCCAAAATTCTCCTTTTGCAACCCTTCATCTTCCTCTTTGAATGGATTTGTACCGGCGAGTTTGCTTAACAGAGGGAGACATTGGGTTACAGTGGAAGAAGGTGAAGATATGGGTGATGATGGTTTAAGCCATTCAATGAAGGTTGGAGCTTGAAAGCAAAAATCCATCATGTTTTGTTTACATGGAGCTCCTTGTACTCATGTTATGAGTACTTCTACTTTCCCAAGTCTCTCATATGGTTTATATTATGGCTTTTATGTAGCTATGACAGATTTCCCACTTTAGGTTGATCTCATATAAAAGTTGTTTTTGGAACTGTTCTTTTCTTTGCTTTCTTTCTTTTCTCTCCCTTGGACTTTAGTTGGAGAGAGAGAGAGAGAGATTAGTGGTGGGACTAGAAAAATGACATGTGAATTCAACAAATAAAGAATCGTAAAATAGAATATGCGCGTCATCTCTTATCTCTTAACAAATATAATTCTTTCTTTCTCTCCTTAGTCTATCTTGTGATTTCTAGGAAAAGAGGAGTAGCCGAGATAGGTGGGGAAGGAGATGGGGGTGGTAGCTAGAGATGGTGGTGATAGGTGGTGGCTATGGTGGGGAGGTATTACAATTAGGGTTTGGATGAGTAGGGATAAGGGTGTAATGAAATTTTGTGAGACGGTAGAATTGTAATAAAAATTATGGAGAATTGGGGGTTTAAATTAGAAATGTGGGGCCATTAGTAACTCCCAATTTAAAAATAATTCATTCTTTTTTTAATGTATTATGCTATTGATTTTTATCTAATTTTTTAATGAATCTTATTAATTAGACTAAGTTGATACAATATGAAAAGTTTAAGGAAAAAAGTTGTACAATTGAAACTACACATGGGTCAAATTGACACAAGAAACAAATTACAAAAATCCAGCATATAATTTGCCCAATTTATATCTTATTAATTGGACTAAATTGATAAAATGCGAAAAATTTAAGAAAAAAAGTTGATACAACTGAAACTACACATGCGCCAAATTGACACAAGAAACAAATTACAAAAATCCAGCGTATAATTTGCCCAATATTATAAATTTTGTTAATTTTTTTTTTTACAAAAAAAAAATTAGTGAAACATTTCTCTCTAACTTTGGGTATAGGAGAGGTTCACTATGTTTTTTTTTTTATTATTATTAGTTAAAGTCAATAATATTATTAGAGAAATTTGTCTCTGTGAAAATGTTGAGACCCTACTACTATAAAAATGTTGTATATCATTTATCTTATAAAATCCTAATATCAAAAATCCTAAACTAAAACCCCCATTTTTTTTGTTTAACTTTATAGCATTTAAAATAAATAAATAAATAAATCCTAGAATGTGTATCATAGCTTATTTAGTGTTTGCTTCGGTTATCTATTTATTTATGTTTTTTGTGATGTATGTTGGAGTAGCTATCATGGAATGTTACCAACATATACAATTTTCTTTTAGTAGATGATGTGAAAAGAAGCAATTAGTCAATACCTAAAACAAGAAAATTGCAATTTAAAAAGAAAAAAAATACCATATAATGGCCCAGAAATGGCATTAAGTTCAAGTGTGTGTGTATATATATATATATATATATTCACCAATATCTATTCCATAGGCAAAGATTTCATCTTGTTAATTAGTTCAACTTCTAATCAATATAATAAGCTACTGACGGTCCTTTTTTCTTATGAATTAGTTGATTAATATAAATGTGGAGAATTGTCTATGTATCTCATTGTTTTGACAAATCGTTTCTATTATAAGAGCATTTCCAACTTACTAAATATATAATATTTATTAGTTAAAATGCCTAATATGATTCATTTTTTTGTAACTCCAATACACTAGTCATATGATTAGGTATTTTGGCGCATTAGTGCTATTAGTGGTGATATTTTTAGTGGAATGAATCATTGTTGATATATATATTCACCAATATCTATTCCATAGGCAAAGATTCCATCTTCTTAATTAGTTCAACTTCTAATCAATATAAGCTGCTGACGGTCCTTTTTTCTTATGAATTAGTTGATTAATATAAATGTGGAGAATTGTCTATGTATCTCATTGTTTTGACAAAGCGTTTCTATTATAAGAGCATTTCCAACTTACTAAATATATAATATTTATTAGTTAAAATGCCTAATATGATTCATTTTTTTGTAACTCCAATACACTAGTCATATGATTAGGTATTTTGGCTCAACTTACATTTACTAATGCTAGACTTCAAAGCCTAGGCAAAATGTTACTACAACAAAATATACTTTAGTGGCACTATATTAGTGGCATGTTTTTAAAAAATGTCACAAAAAGAATATTTTGTGACATATTTTAGAAAAATGTCACAAAGCCACAAACATAAAAGGTTTTGGTGGCATTTCGATAAAGAAATGCCACATCACTACAAAAAAAAAATGTGATCTAATATTGTTGGCTATACATTTTGTATAAGCCAATCGCAGTTTAACATGTGGCTTGTAAAGGGTGATTTGGGGAGTTAATACATGTCTCTAATCAATGACGGGCACATGGCAGTTCATATTGGTTTTAATGGATCCGCGTAGTAGTGGAACAGTTAGAGGGCGCAAGATGACGTGGCCTAACGGTTATTCACAATTCAAATTTAAATTCAGGAGGGAAGCCAAACTGTAAGAATGGCGTAGTAGGAGCAAACTGTTTAAGGCCGTGACTAATGATCGTGGAAGGGCATTTCGACGGTTAGAAGCCCACTTCAACGGTTATCATTAGAGAATATAAATACAAGAGAATGCCAACAGAAGCAAGACCCAATTATTTACTTCATATTTTCATTCCAGTTTTTACATTTTCAGTTCTTTAATTCTTGTACCTTCAATTCTTGTACTACAATTAATTTCTTAGGAATAGTTTCAAGTGGTTTGTCGTTGTGGACCTCGCCGAGGCTGGGTCAGTTCATTGTAAGTTCTTATTTACTTAATGAATTCAGTTTCTGAACCAACTATTTTGTACCTATTATTATTTATAAGTTTCTCCTAAGTAAAGCCACCCGTAAAAAGTCTTCTTCATTGAGACTGAAAGTACTTTAACACAATCGTCTAATAATTGGTTGACAATTTAACCCTCTGTAAGAACTTATTGATCCTTGCTGGTACGCTTAGAATTACATAATAAACCTTCGAAAGCCAAAAAAGCTAACATATATTTTTGGCATGTCCAGTGGGACATAAAATGGCTAGACGTAGAAGACAAAGAGTAAATGAACGCCTGAAAGAATGTGTTGAAGGAGAGATGAAAGCACTTAATCCAAAGGATAATGTAATAGCACGTCCTATGGATGCACCTATCCCATTAGATCCTTCACAAATGGTCGAACAAACCAGCACTTCAGAATATACAACACATGTCCAAAATACTGGACAGGGCCATGAAACTGAACCATCAAATTGCCCCTTCTACCCAACCAATGAATCCATGGGGAGGTTTGGTAAATGCTATGGGACATCAACTAATGTTTACAATGGAAAGATGGGCGACATCCTTTATGGATCGAATGAACTCTCATCAACCAACTGTTGTAAGACAGGCTGAAGAAAACATGAATTCTTTTCAGCATAGCTCGAGATAAACAACTTATGCAAAATAATGGATAAACTAATGGTCAGACTAGTAATCAAAATCATGACAATTCATCACCTGTGCCTCAGTCATGGTATGAAGCTCCTTCAAGACCACTGACAAATCAAAATGTATTGTTACTTACCAGTGAAACCATACAAATTAGTGGGTCAGGCCAACACAATGGAATGGCATGAGGATGTTTTCAAATCCCATGTTTGAAACCATGCCTGGCACACGAGTGTTCACTAATCTTGTGTTTGAATTTGCACCCAGGGAGTTGGAAGGGGTTGCTACGGTTGGAAGAGAGACTACACATGTTTCTCCTCTTGTAGCACCTTTCGCAGGGCAGACCCCAACAAAAAACACAGTTCCTATGGACCAAATTGTTGATATTGTTAGAGAGATGCGTAGATCCATGGCTCGGGGGGTCCAGACTTCTGTGTATAGAAAACCTTACCCAGAATTGGTGGATAGGGCACATGAATACCCAAGGGGATTTATAATACTAATTTTTTTCCCTTTTTATGAAAATAAAAACCAGTCAACAGTGGAATACATTGCCAGGTTTATAGGCCAGTGTGGTGAATTCACCAATAATGATTACATAAAACTAAGACTTCTTCCAAACTCTCTAACTGGAGCAGCCTTTGTATGGCATATAAACCTTACACCTGGCTCTATCCAAACTTGGCAATAAATGGAGAAAGTGTTTCATGCCCAATTTTTTCAAACAAAACTTGAGGTTTCTATGGCAGACTTGGCAAGACTGAGCCAAGGCTTGATGAGAAGGCTGCTCAATTCATTGCTAGGTTCAAGAGGGCATGAAACAAATGTAAAGTCATACTGCCTGAACATGAATTTGTAAGATTGGTTCAAAATGGGTTGGAATTTAAACTTCGAAAGAAGTTTGATTCAATTGAGTTTCGAGACTAAGTAGAATTAACCTATAAAGTTACTAGATATGAAACCTTACTTGAAGAAGACCAAGACCGAAACAATGCATCCTATAAGACTTATTATAAGGACCTTAACTTCTAAATTGATGCAGCAGAGATCATAGGAAAAGAACCTATGACATGTGAAGCATTGATTCAGAAGGACACTACAATTGACCAATAGTTTAAAAAGAAAGACCTTCATAGGAAATATTCTTTTGACATAACCAAACCAGATAACATATTTGATCATTTGTTTGCAGCACATTTCTTAAAGTTACCCAAGGGAGTTAAGATCCCAACTTTTGAAGAACTTAAAGGAAAATTGTACTGCAAATGGCATAATTCTTGGTCCCACTTTACTGAAAACTGTATTATTTTTCGAGACAGGATCCAAGAACAAATTCGGAGAAGGAGATTGAAATTTCCAACCAAGACTGAAAAAGCCATAGGAATTGACACCAACCCATTTCTTGAGATTAGATAGGCAACAATTAATGTTGGCATACCAGATTTCTAGAATCTCTCATTGAAGGAATTAGAAGAAGTTAATGTGCAGATGCATGTTACTAGCCAGGTTTCCTTCAAAAAGGGTACAAGAAGTTCACCAGCTAGTGGATAAAAGCTTTGCAGGTCAAAAGGATGGCTCCAACGAAGAAACATTGGATGATGAATCCCTCGAAACAGTTGTAATGCAGAGAATGTATCCCAGATACAAGCTAAGTTATAAGTGGTTGAGAGGGCTTCCAAATGATGGGAAACAGTACTACAAAGATATAAAGAGAGGCCATAA